TGAAGATTGCGTGAGGTTCCCTTTCATAAGGCGCTTTTGGGTTCGCTCCAAGAGTTGTTTACTGGAGTGCTTGCAGTGCTGCTGTGAAAGGTCGATGTTTGCGAGTTTCCTCGTGTCGCTTGTAGAATAGTAGCAGGAGAATTCTGCGCAGAGAGCTTGCGGGGCGTCCCGACGGTAAATAAAACCGGCATGCTCGGCAAATGGAGAGTGTGCCAGCCCTGGTGCACCAGCTTCCGCTCATCGTTGAGGCAGCCAACTCCTGGCCCCAAAGCTGACCGCGATGGCTCTGGTCTTCCTGGAGTGATACGACACTCGGTCTGACTGTTCGGAGGCTCGTACCACGCCTGCCACAGCAGGGTCGCAGAGCCCGTTGCATTTTGCGCCGGATGCTTCTGGCCACCCTGGTGCGTTGCATGAGAACACGCCGTCGGCCTGCATCCTGCTGAGTCTTGCTTCCGGGGTGATCGGAACGACATGGCAGGTGCCCATGCCATCGGCCCGAGACCTCCAAGAGGACACGTGCGTGCTCCGTTGTGCGAGTCTCTGCCTCGCAGCCCTGAGATGTCAAGATCTCTTGTCTTTTTCATGTCTTGTCCATGGCTGTGGCGAAGTTGCACAGAGCGGGATGCGCCGAAGTTTCGACTTCAGGAAGCTTCTAGAGGCCCGAAATTTCAGGCGGTTCTTGTTGTAGCTTCAAGGCAATATAAGGGTCCACGTAGCCGCTAGCCTCGTAGCTCGAGCGTGCTCTGAGAGCCCGTGGTCCTCTTCTTGGGATCTGGAGCTGACTTCGATGCTCCCGCAAAATACCCTTGCTGGGCTAACACTAAATTCACTAAATGTGGGGTAGTACCATGGCCATCTCCCTACCCGAAGGCCTTGACAAGCTCTACATCCTTGAGCCTGAAGCCGTGAACCCTGCACGGCCCTAAACCCATCACTCAGAATTCAGTCTCAGGCCCGAGTGGATCGACCGCAGAAGCGAAAGCGGGCCAGCTCGAGGCCGAGGCTGCGAATTAAAGTGAAAAGGCCGAGCCCGAGCCGCTTTTACGTCCGCTTCTTCCGACCTCCCAGACGGCTCCTCCCTGGCCGCAGTGACACAGTCGTACGTAGACTGTGAGGCTTCTTGTCTAAGGACGAAGGAGATGATCCGCACGAGAGCGCACTTCGAGCTTGCCCGGCGAACCGAGCGGTCGCTTGCCAAAGGAGACGGGCATGCTCTGCATGTGTGGTTCGCACAGGGGAGAGTTGCCGGCCGTAGGGTTTACAGGAACAGGTGCAGTCGTTAAAACCTGCTGGTTGGAACTCGAGGTCTGGACCAAGACTTGGGCCTATCAGCGGATAACCGGATAACCTATACACCGCGCCGGGCCTGAAGCGTTCCTCTTGCCGGACAGAGTCTGCGAGCTGTGCAACGCGACGGTGAGAAGCATTAGAGGCACTATGCTCCCGAGGAGACGTTCCTTTGCTGGTCTTGGTCCACAGGCCATGGCAGGAGGCAAGTGCCACTGCGTGCATCCCAGAAGCTCGCCAAGCCAAGCTTGTCTGACCCAGAAGAGGCTGCAGAGAAGCTCACAGCAACTAGTATGACTTACAGGAAGTAGGTCACACCGTTGTAGGCATGGCTGTGGAGCCTTGCTTCAAAGAAAGGTCACATTGTCAGCACTCACTCGCGATTTAAGGAGAAAGCAATCTGTGCGCATGTAGGAGATTTTGGACAGAGACAGACTTTCCTCGCAGACTGGGACTCCGCCCTGCTGCAGTTGGAGTGATCGCCCCCTCATCTTCTGGCAGAGTCCTGCTGTAGAGCACAGCACATGTGTACCAAAAGGAGAGCTTCGCTGGCTCTGACAGGTATATTATTCAGTCATCCAGCCACCTTCGCCTGCACCTAAGCTGCGTCCCAGGGCCGCTTGATTGAGCCACAGCCAAACCAGAAAGCACTTCCCTTTAGGCCGACGCGGCTGTCTCTGTGGTCGACAGAGCCATGTGCTTGAGGATTCGGAAGCCTGCGGAGCCGCGTCCGGCCACGTGTTCGCCGTGCAGGACGCCCCACCCCCGGCCCAGTTCAGGGTTTATAAAGCAGTTTAAGGCAGTTTGAGGTTTAGGGTTTGGGGAGGGTTGGGCTGCTTTGAAAGCAGCTCCCCCTCCTGCCGGCACCCTGCAGAGCTTGAGATCCGCTTGAGGGTCCTCGGACCCGTGCACCGCAGCACCAAGCGAATCAGGCTGCCCTGGCCCATGGCCGTGAAGGTGCCTCGAAAGCTGCACTCAAAGCGTCCCGCAGCCCTCACCCGCGTGTGAAGAAAACTGCGCGAACTGCGCCGTTGAGAGCATCTTGCTTAGTTCTCAGAACGCCGCAGCCTCTTTTCAAAAGCCTTGTTGCGGCCTGCATCCTTAGATGAGACATCGGTGCGCTGTTTCCTTTTCCTGCCGACAAAAAGCGTCTTCTTCCGCTCCCCGGCCCCAAAAAATTGTCCGCTGTCAGACCGGCAGAGGGCCGTCAAAGGGCTTTGAGCAGCGGCCGCCTTTGAGGCTGCGCGGCTGAGCGGCCGCCTTTGGGGCGGGCGACGGCTTCCCCGTCTGGGTTCCGGCTTTTCTGGCCTTTCAGCGGGGCTTGCGGCCAGCTGAAACGGCTCCAACACCCACCTTTTCCACCCCCTTGTTGGCTGAGACATCCCAGCGCTTCTTGTAGCGGTGCCCCTGGCTTCCCTGGCTTCCAAAATCTGCTCGGAGACTTTCTTCATGAGAAGCTGCTCGGGCTCCTAGCCTGCGGCAGCCTGCGAGGCAAGGTCCTCTCCGCATGCGCAAAACCCGCATTAAGGTACAGAGGCTTTTAACTTGTCAGCTTCTGCCGACCTCTTCGACGATTCGATCTTGTGCCCACGACTATTGGGCCAACAGACACTAAGAGCCCTGCTCGTGGACGCCTCGCAGGAGGTGGAGCTTGTCACAAGCCGCTGAGGTTACGCCCAGATCTTGGCTGAAAGGTGCCCTCACGCTTGAAATGACCCCTTGGGCTTTGGTATTTCGATCGCGTTTGAAGTGGGGTTTAGGGCCTTTAGGGTATGTCGAGGCTTGTCGCGGGTTTGTGTTGGTACCTTGTGCATTCTGCCCTCTGCTCGGACTTCTTTGACTTTGGAGCTGCGGACTTTTTCGTGTAGGCCAGCAGGGCTGAATGGAGAGACCTCCGAGTTACTCCGAGTTACTCTGGATTGCGACGCCCCGGCATGAGCTGACGCCACCTGTCGCCATAGCTAAGCCCCAAGCGTGATTGTTGCCTACAAGCAATGTAGTGCAGTGCTTCTTGGGCTAACGGTGGCTTCCTGTGCCTGCCCCCACGATGCGCCCCTGGGACCGGCCGCCACTCGCTTTCCGCACCTCGAACTCCTGGTGTGACTCGGTGTCTTCCCAAATCCCACCCAAGTCTTGCATGCCGGAAGCCTTCTGCATGCCGGGGGCATCCCAAAATCTAAAGCAGCCGCAGCGCTTCCATCCCAGACCCCTCTTGAGCCCTTCCTTCACCCACAGCTCCCACACCCAACCCCAGCACTTCATTAATTGCCGAGAGGGAGGGCGCAAAGCCACAGAAATGAGCACCGAGATTGACATCTTGGCGGCATTGCGCTGTTGCAGGTTACCGAAAAGGAGCTCAACATGTGATTTTCGGAAGGTTGACTGCCCATAATCCAGGACCGGTTCGTTTGAGATCTTGATTGTGGGTTCCTTGTTTTCTGACAGTCTCAGGTTGCTTGGCTGGGGGTTGGGACCTACATTACTCACGGCACCAACTGTTCAGTATCCGACTTCTCTTGAATGATGTTCGCCTTGGTTGGGATTTGGATGGTGTGGACCTCGACTTCCCCTACTGTCGCAGCCCCTAGCAAAACGACCTCAGACACGCAGACCCTGAACAGCTGTGCGGGTTCATTACGTACTTACAAGTTCGCGCCAGGCATGCGGAAGCGCGCGTTTGAAGTCTTGGCGGGGTTTCGAAGAAGGGGAAAATCTAAGGTGGATTTCGTCATCTCACTGCAGGGCACATGTATCTCCCGACGAGTGCAGCAACAACCCCGCAGTCAGCACCGAATTTCGCGGTACATTTGTCGACGCAAGAAGGCTTCGCTCAAGTCTAGGCTGCCTGCACATCGCCACTTTGCTTCAAGGGGTTTTGGTGGATCTCGGAATCTATGGGGTCATTCATGGCGGACAAAGCAAGGGAGGTCGAAGTGATGCTTTCTGCCGTGTCAAAGCACAGGGCCCTGAAGTAGAATCTTTTCGAGAAGTGAGGAGGGGGGGCATCTCATGGGCGCCGGTAACTTCAGAGGGTGCGGAGTACCAAGCTTGTTAGCCTTGTTAGAGCACCTGCATGTGCTACCTAGTCTGAAGCCATATGGCCAGCTATGCGGCTTTTGGCAGGATTTGGTACGATGGCTTTCGCTGCAGGTGAGACATACCGTGGTGTCACCAATGTGGTGTTTGACGATGTCAACCCAGCTTTTGGGATCCTTCGAGGGCACATAAGTTGGACACCTCCATCCGACATGACAGATGTTGACGGCTACCGGCTTCTGATCACGACGAGTGCTGACGGCGGGATTGTCGAGGGTGGGACTCCGGATCTTACGAGGTTTCGAGAACTGGAGCATCCAGGCCTCGGGGGATTTCTTCCTCGAACTTACACCAACTTCACGCTTGCAGACACTCGGCGCCAGGCCCTGATTTCTATCCCTGGCATCACGCCCCCACGCTACCTGCAAGTTTACACCATCATCGATGGACAGTGGCAATACGCTTCTGAGCTTGCGCCTTCTGCCATCATCCCGATCTATGACAGCGGCGGGAGCTTTTCCACCCTCCCATTTGAGACGCAGCACGTGGTGTTTGCAGACGCAGATCCTCGCTGTGGGTACGTTGGAGGAGGCCTTTCGTTCGTGGTCCCCTCCGATGCTGACTTCACTTACATCAGCTCCTGGAGAGTTTATTTTGCAGAGGATTCCATGGGCACGAATCCGACATCCGCCGTAGAGCTGCCGGTCGCACTCAGCAACTTCATCAATGTTTCTGACTACATCGGGTCTCGGTCAGTGCTAATTATTGCCGGCGCCACTGACACTGGAGACATCAGGCTGCCCATAGCCATAGATGAGGCATGCAATAACACGACAATCACTCCAAGCTCCTCCCCTGGGTCTCCCCTCACGCCCCTCCAAAGGACCGGGCCTTAGCTCCGCTCAGCAGCCTCTCTTCTCTCTGTTTTTGCCGGGTTTGGGCTTGGAAAGGAGGCACCTCGGAGAGACCGGGCCTCAGCTCGCCTCAGCTCAGCTGCCTCCTCTTTCGCCTCTCTGCTGAGACACCTTATAAGGGTCTCCTGGCCGCCGAGGTCAAACGCGACGATCGCCGCCGTTCCCCAGGCCAGGGATGTTTTTTGTTTTTCATCCGTTTTTTTCCGAGCTTTTCTCTGCTGCAATGATGCAGGTTGAGTGGCTCTTGGCCTCTGGAGTTGCTCCGCCTGAGCGGTCCAGCCAAGCGTCTGCCGTGGATGATGGCCGATTCTGGGTTTTCGGAGGCCGAGCGGCTACTGCCCTCATGTCTTCAATTCTCATGTGTTTTCTTGTGGGAGGAGCCGAATACGAGGGCAGGGCCACGAGTGACACGACGAACGACTTGTGGTACTTCGGTTCTGAGGCGCGGTGGCCTTTTGGAGAGCAACAATAAAGTAGCCGAATATCACGGTGGCTTGCGACACAGCTCCAGAGCTCCACCACGACCATCACGATAACTACCAGTCTGCCAGCTCCCGAGCAGTTGAGTTAGCGTAGCTGTGGGAGTGTGAGATGTGTGCATGTTCCTGGCGATTCAAAGTCACACCGATTGTAGGGAAGCCCAAGCAACTTTGTGCAGAGGTCAAGCACGACTTGGGTGGACGCTGCCCTTTCCCAAGTTGGCTAGCAGTCTGGTCTTCGTGCTGCGAATCCAAGCTGCCAGGTTGCATGGTTCCAGGTCGAATCCGGTCCCGCTGAGCGGTACAGCCATGCGTCCGCCATGGAGGGCGGCCGATTCTGGGTGTTCGGAGGTGCTTAGCACTGCCAGCCTGCTTTGCCGCTGATCTCTGCCGCGATTTGTGGGAAGGCACCGACCATTCGGGCAGGGAGAAGAGTGACCTCTGGCACTACACCGTTGAGGCGGTGGGTCAGGGTCACCCGAAAAGCAAAAGGGCGGACGGAAAAGGGGACGGTCTGCTGGTCAGGCCGCCTGGACGCTGGTGGATGCTGGCTCCGGGCCCTCCGCGCGTTGGCTGCACTCCGCTGCCGCGGCCGCAGGGCGCTTCTGGATCTTCGGAGGCAGAAGCTGTGCATCCAGTGCGTGGCATGTCTCGTGGCGCCGCTGCGTGCTCCTGGCCGCCTCTTCAGGCTTTCAGCAGCTCACCTTCTCGGTCTTTGGGGACCTGTGGTATTTCGAAGATCAGGCCGCCGCGGTCCGAATAGAGATTTTTCCCTCAAGACTGCCCCAGAAATGGAGACGCTGTCAGAAGCCAGGCCTGGACGGAGGTGGCGCTCGGCTCGGGGCCCTCCCCGCGCTTTGGCCACGTCTCGGCCATGGCGCTGAACCGCTTCTGGGTCTTCGGAGGCAGATGCTTTTTGTTGACATTTGAGATCTTTTTGGGGCTTCCTTTTTGCCAAAGTGCCTTGCAGGGAACGACTTCCGTGTCGAGGGCCTCAATGACCTCTGGTACTTCACGCCAGATGCCCACGGCTCAGTTGATCTTTGTGGTTTTAGGGCTTCGGTGGGAAGCATGGAGGGCTTTGGGGAGTTTAAGTTTAGGCTTTGGGGTTTGACCGGGCGTGTTCTCGGCGTTGGGCCTAAGGTTTCGCAGGCTTTTTGGACTTTAGGTCAGCCTTGGGAGTTCAGAGGCAAACACCGTCTCTTGTCGGAGGTGGGCTGGACGAGCCTCCCTTCTTCGGGGACCTGGCCCTCGGCGCGCCAAGCCGGTGCCGCGGAAGCGGACTCTTCCGGGCGGTTCTGGATCTTCGGAGGCCGCGCGAAACAGCGGAGGTGTCTGCTGATTTTTTTGCCAGCGCCCCACAGGTGAGAACGCGCCCTTCAACGCGCCCTTCATGCGCAATGATCTCTGGCACTACACGGTGGAGGTGGAGCGAAGACAGCACGAGCCCGATCTCGACAGCTGGGTTCAGTCGCAGGCAAATTGGACTCTGGTGGATGCTGGCTCCGGCTTCGCACCCTCCGTGCGAGCCGGCTGCACTTCCGCCATGGACGCGGCCGGACGCCTCTGGCTCTTCGGAGGCCGCTGTCACGCCGCCAACCTGCTTCGAGCTAGAGCATCTTGCAAAAAAAGGTCATGATTACTTCGCGGTGCTCGACGATCTCTGGTACTTTGCGGAGGCAAGCAGGGAACTTCTCGGAATCTTCTGCAGTGGGTCGTCGCGGCGTCGCGTTTGCGAGGCCTGGATACAGGCTGACAGCCCTGGCCTTTGGCCTCCTGCACGATTCGTGCATTCCTCGGCCATGGACGCCTCCGGCCGCTTTTGGCTCTTCGGAGGCCCTGAAGCCAGGAAAGTTGCCATGATGCGGATGCGGTAAGTAAATGCAAGTAATATGGCTTCCCGAAAATGGCAAGTTACGTTCAAGGTCTTTACAGCACCAGTAGCGGGTGAAGAGGATATCGGAAAACAAAGGGCGAAATCAACAAAACAAATTCGGACAACACGGAGGGGGATTTCCGATTACGGCCGGTCAGGCTCACAAGACCGGAATCAGAAAACAACGAAGACGACATCAGAAAACAGCCCAGAATCGGAACACAAAATCAGAAAACAGGAAAGAGAAATCAGACAACGGATGTAAAAAAAATGAGAAAACAAAAAACAAGGTCCCTATACGACCCTAAACCGGCCTCATCTTGGCGGACGTGGACCAGCATGACGCGCATCCTGGCCGCGGCCCTTTCACCCCACGGTTTTGGCGCCAAACCGAGAGGTGAAGGAAGGCCGCGGTCCTTTCGCCCCACGGTTTTGGCCCCAAACCGAGAGGGGAAGGAAGGCCGCGGTCCTTTCACCCCACGGTTTTGGCCCCAAACCGAGAGGTGAAGGAAGGCCGCGATCCTCACGGTTTTGGCCCCAAACCGAGAGGTGAAGGAAGGCCGCGGTCCTTTCACCCCACGGTTTTCGGTGCCAAACCGAGAGGTGAAGGAAGGCCGCGGTCCTTTCAAAGGAAGGGTGCGGTCCTTTCACCCCACGGTTTTGGCCCCAAACCGAGAAGTGAAGGAAGGCCGCGGTCCATTCATCCTACGGTATTGGGCGCCAATCCGTCCTTTAACCCCACGGTTTTGTGGTGCCAAACCGAGAGGTGAAGGAAGGCCGCGGTCCTTTCACCCCACGGTTTTAGGCGCCAAACAGAGAGGGGAAGGAAGGCCGCGGTCCTTTCACCCCACGGTTTTAGGCGCCAAACCGAAAGGGGAAGAAAGGCCGCGGTCCTTTCACCCCACGGTTTTGGCGCCAAACCGAGAGGTGAAGGAAGGCCGCGGTCCTTTCACCCCACGGTTTTGGCCCCAAACCGAGAGGTGAAGGAAGGCCGCGGTCCTTTCACCCCGCGGTTTTTAGGCGCCAGACCGAGAGGTGAAGGAAGGCCGCGGTCCTTGCACCCCACGATTTTGGCGCCAAACCGAGAAGTGAAGGAAGGCCGCGGTCCATTCACCCTACGGTATTGGGCGCCAATCCGTCCTTTAACCCCACGGTTTTGTGGTGCCAAACCGAGAGGTGAAGGAAGGCCGCGGTCCTTTCACCCCACGGTTTTAGGCGCCAAACAGAGAGGGGAAGGAAGGCCGCGGTCCTCTCACCCCACGGTTTTAGGCGCAAGGCCGCGGTCCTTTCACTCACGGTTTTGGCGCCAAACCGAGAGG